TAAACTGATTTTTAGCTAATTTGTGACCGTTTCAAAATTGTTAACAAAAGTTTAAACTCTTATATCTCAGTTAATCTTGGACGGATATGCCTGTCAAATATACCAAAATTTAAGTTAGATATCGCTGGATGCAATTAAACTCGATTTATGGTTCTACTGCTTATTGTTTCTGAGTTACAAGTAATCAAACAGTTGTACTTTTTTTTGCGCCACCCGGTATATATATATATATATATGGGAGATGTATAGATATAAGGCAGATGAAATCTCAATCGTTTCGGCGTATTTCGGCCTGCCACAATATATATTTTTGCCTTCTTTGATAAACATTATTAGGCACGCAAATTTAGTGAGAAGAACACTTGCACATGTTAAATGTCACCTGCATGTCATTGTCATTGCCCTTTTATCCCTGGTCTAAATGATATGATTATTGAAGCGGGGCCGTTTTGACCTACAATCTTTGACAATATAGATTGGGACAATTTAGTTTTCACATGCATTCGGTTGTAATATACCATTTCCTGATACATATTTTCCACCCTCCCTCCCCCCACCGGTTTCAATGTTGGCGCCGCGCATCCAGACATCAGATTTTTATTGGCCCAACATTGAACTGGGGGAACGGGGGCGCTATTCCTTTCAAATTATATGAAATTACAGCAGCTGTCCCATAGTTTCTGGCAAAGATTGTCTTGGTGGTGATCAATGGTGTTTGGAATTTGATAATTAAACGTTTTAGTTTTAAGTTTATACCTCCCAATAACATATATTCCAGTATCGAAGCATATGTGGGCAAGTTTTGGCAGTTTTAGATACTATCCATTCATTCCGGGGTGTGTGTGTTATTTTTAACACTTTATATACCAACACAGGAATACGTGTCCTACTAGCTATAATGCTTAAAAAGCACATTTATATTCACGTCTAATATCACCATAGCTCTCTCCCTTGTGAAAAATCCGCGGAAATTTACTCAAACGTTACATGCTGTCTTTGGAATGATGCAAAAGACCATAATTACGACGAACCTGGAACCGAACTATTCAGAAATAATCGGTAGTTTGTGAGTCGGGTAGGTTTAAATCTCATCTCACAACACATCAAACTGCGGGGAAAGACAAATAAATATGCATTGTTTTCGCCTTTTACAAACTTATACTTGAGAACTGGGGCCATTTCCAAGCTAAATTTCATTTGCAGTATTAGATTTATAGCACAGTTCATAACGCAGCCAGTAGTCAAGTTTCATACGTATCATATTACACGATGCTCACTAACGATTCTCGATCTAAAACGCTGATTTGCGTTACTATAAATTTTACTTATCTTACATTTTATATGCATATGGGTACAAGAAACCATTTTCCTTCATTACAATCGGTTAACTTTGCCGATATCCGCCCTTTTTAAGTTCGTTTTCGAACGAAGCTCACTACAAAACTGTAAATAAATCTATATCTCATTGGCTATTTTAGGACGGAAAGTGAGAATCGTTGCTAGAAAATCATTCGTAACTTAGTCACTTCGTTACGAAAACTTGTAAAATCGTCCTATCTTATAAAATATGTTGGACTTTAAATGCCTAGGGTGTATTTGTTTGATATTGTCTGCTATTAAGGCTTTTATCGCGTGTGAGCCCATGAAAATATGGTGAGATTCGTGGTGAGATTCGTTTCTATATTGATCTCATTGTCGCATACCGACGCGCTTAGTTATGCTAACAAGATTGCTCAGTTGTCAATTTTCTTTAAATAGAGTCCGAAAACCGCTACCATTCATGGAAATCAATGAATTGTGACTAAAGTGTAGCACTACAAGCCTTTAAATCTGATTTTTAATATACGCGATGTTTCAGCCGGGTTTTAGCTATTTCCTAACACACGCATACGCAAACATTGTATAACACAGTACACGAAAATTATCCGTGTGCAACGAAATTGCTAAAGGACCTAAAAGGGATAAAGAAATTATAAAAATATAACTACGTACACAGCTTCATGATGTCTACAAGCTGAATTAAGTTAAATTTAAGAGTAATGGTATTACTTGAACAGACAATCTTTGACAATATAGATTGGGACAATTTAGTTTTCACATGCATTCGGTTGTAATATACCATGTCCTGATACATATTTTCCACCCTCCCTCCCCCCACCCGTTTCAATGTTGGCGCCACGCATCCAGATATCAGATTTTTATTGGCCCAACATTGAACTGGGGGAACGGGGGCGCTATTCCTTTCAAATTATATGAAATTACAGCAGCTGTCCCATAGTTTCTGGCAAAGATTGACCTAGCACCGTATTTGTCGGCAAATTGTCTATACAATTATATATACTAGATATCACAGCCAAACCTGCCATTTTGATCTTTTTCTCGCGTTAGATAAGTTGATAAGTACACTCATTCGTGTTAACCATCGTACCTGTTCGGTTGTTCCTTTTAGATACGAAACTTCGAGCGCCGAGTTATCGTACGGCACATTCAAGTGCATAAATTATGGATGATTCCAATTAATTACAAATATTTCTTACTCTTATTCGTTAAAATATTAAAAATTTGGGAACAATGCTATACCAAGGCAGCATTCACTTCCCTGTGGGTAAACTAGTCGTCAATAATATTACATTTGCCATACAGTCTGCGTTTCGACAGCAGTTTCCTGTCTTCGTCGTGGATGAACCAAAGTGGCAACATGGCGTTTATATAACACTTTGTGGGATTACGTTAGCGGAGTAGCGGACGACAAAATACACCTGATGGTCTATTGCCAGTCAAGGCGCCTTTGACCAGAAGGTCTATTGATGTAATACTGTAAATCGTTGATTATTGTGTGAGATAATTGTGGTTATTTTTTATTTAAAAAATTCCTAGCTTCTGCTTGGCTAACAGCCAACTGTGAAATTGTCATATCAACTCAATGGCTTACCAAATATGGATTTTTCACATTCATGTTAGCAAAATGACGTTAAAGAGTCTATAAGAAAACAATTTGGATGCGTTTGCGCCATTTTACTATGACGACGAGAATCATATTGACTCGCTGACGCCATTGATATGACGACGACGACGGCTGCCGAAGGACTAAGGAATTGTTTTATTCTTAATACAAATAAAATATAAATGGCTTCTTCTGTTTGTTTTGAATTTTGTAAATAAATAATAAAACAATTATTGAATTCAGTTTTCGCACAATATGAAGAATTATCAAGCCATCAGTTTGCCGTTATAAACCTCAGCCTTCGGCTTCGGTCGATAACGGCATATTTCGGGCTTGATAATTCTTCATATCGTACTCAACAGCTCATTCACTGATTGTTAATTATATTTTAATTCTTTACAGTGAAACCCGAAATTAAGATGGAAAAGATATATAGATACAGGGAAGGAATGATGATTGAATGTACATTAAAAAGAAGTAATCCGCCAGAAGTAAATTACAACTGGTATTCGCTTGACACCACCATTTGGAAATTAACCGAAAAATTACCTATCTTACGACTTGACAGTCAATCAAAATTGGATATGAAATATAAGTGCAGAGCCGAGAACACTGTTGGTAGTACATCTAAAATCATTGAGGTGGTCAAGGATGGTGTCTGTACTGAATGTAAGTGTACCAAATCTCACAATTTGAAATTATAGATTGAATGCCGTCAGAATACATACATAAATATTAAGATGTATATGTATATAAATGTATACAAAGTATAACGTATATGTTTTTGAGTAAAGACAAATAGTATATTGTAAGGGGGGTTAGGTTTCAAGTGGGACGAAAGTCCTGTTCCGTTCTCCTGTCACATAGTTATCTTCGTCAATGTATTTTTTTTTTGTATGGTGACAAATTCAATTCAATAAATAAAATAGATTACAAATTGTATATTTATGACAATGATAATTCTGTATACTATATATAGAAACACATACATACAACAATCCCTCATCTTTTTAAACTTCCTCCCCATTGTTCTAGCATGAAGTTTTCTAAATTACGGCAACCCTGAACGCAGACCCGCGTTGCTCGCGACGATCAGTTTTTGTACCTGCGTCTAGCGCTAGATACTATGCTATCGAGTTGTGGCACGTAACGACCCGTACAATTTGAAAACCAGCAGGATTCGGGAACACAGTTCCCAAACTCAACGAACGGCGCTAATCACATTATCAATTACCGTTATGAGATGTCATCAATCCAGGTTGTAATGCTTAAACACAGTGTGAAACCAAGCAAGTAATAAGTTAATTTTCTATTTTACATTAAAATATACGGTGGTCCTAAAGGAGATCAAACCCCAGGTTTTTGTTTGGCAAACGCGCAAGTTATTTTCAATACCGGTACCTCAGCTTTTATTTTTAACTCCCCGGGTCTTATTACGGATCGACCGGAATACTCAGGTTTTTATTAATTAAATCCCAGGTTTTCATTTTTAAAACCCCAGGGTTTTATTTTCATAACCCCAGGTTTTTATTTTTAAAATCCCAGGTTTTCATTTTTAAAACCCAGGTTTTCATTTTTAAAATCCCAGGTTCTTATTTTTAAAAACCTAGGTTCTTATTTTTAATTATGACAATGTTTCCAATGCCTTTATATTTCCTCATTTCCATAACTCACAAGACATGGCGCCCGCGGTTCGTTGGCTTGCAGAGTTGTCGTGTTCTTTGTATTGGAGAAGAATTTTGGAGAAGCTGTCTTAGACTACCTTCTTCATGCAAACGATGATCGCAACACTCTGATGGAAAAATATTTTAAGCTTGGATATCAATACTCCGAAATACTGGCGTTTCTGAGTTCATTTCATGGTATTCAACTCTCACTGCGACAACTTAAATGGATACTGCGAACTAAGCGTTTACGAAGACGAAAAGACCACGCCAGTGTAGAAATCGTTTCTGATACTATTCAGAATGAATTGGAAGGAACTGGTTAATGTCTTGGTTATAGACAAATGCACCAGAAGTTACGAATAGAACATGGCATTGTCGCTCAGCGTGAAACTGTGCGAATAATATTAAAAACATCTAGAACCTGAGGGGTTTCAGCAAAGATTTAGACGTATAGGTTAAGAAGAAGAGAATACTATGCGAGAGGTCCAAATTTTATTTGGCACGTCGATGGGTATGATAAACTTAAGCCCTATGGCGTATGCATACATGGGGCAATTGACGGATTTAGTCGGCGCAGTAATGTGGCGCAAAACTGGACACTCCAACAATGACCCAAAGATAACTGCGAAGTATTACATTGATTGCGCTCGTCACGTATGAGGATCGAGTGCCCAAGATTAGCAGATTAGACCGAGTTACTGAAAACATTTATATTGCTGCCACTCAACGGTTTGTGAGAATGAATTGTGCTGATGTTATTAACGGACAACAGTCCATTCTATATGGCCGAAAAATCTGTTTCCAATCAGCGTGTAGAAGCTTGGTGGTCGTGAGAAAGTCCTACTCGTCATGGTGGATGAACTACTTCAAAGATATGCGTAACACAGGGGTTTTTTATGATAGTGATACACTGCAAACGGAATCTCTACGTTTTTGTTTCATTCATTTAAATTTAATCTAGAAATAGCTAAACGACGTAGCAAAAAGTTGGATGTGCACCGAATAGATTGATAGATAGATAGATAGATAGATAGATAGATAGATAGATAGATAGATAGATAGATAGATAGATAGATAGATAGATAGATAGATAGATAGATAGATAGATAGATAGATAGATAGATAGTGTATTTAAAATTCACCTTGCAGCTGGACAGCTGAATTGCGTGATTTACAAGAGTATATAAAACATTATTTAAAAGATAGAATATGGGTTAATTAGGCATATTTACAAATGGTCATTAAAACGCTTAGTACTAAAAATTACATTAACTTAAGTTACTAGACATAGGAATAAAAGTTTTTTTAAATCTTTCTGTATTAGTTTCGAATCGTTCAAACAGTCTATTGTTCCTAAGTTGGTAAACCGACTCATGTTTGGGAGGCAGTAAATTATGCAGTTTGTGTGTCGGATTGTTAGTAATATTTGTAAAAAGTTTGTTACACATTTCTTCGCGTCTTTGGAACAAAGTTTGAAGATTGAAATATTCTAAAGTTTCGCTATATGAGTTCGGGGGTAAAATGATCTTCAGTGCTCGCTTTTGTACCGTCTCAAGATCTTCTGACAGGAAGGATGGAATTGAGTAATGGAAAACCGGGGCACAATATTCCAAAATGGGCCTGATAACTGTACAGTAAAAGTTTACAATGTCTTTCGGACTGACTTTTGCGCGCTTAAGTAAGATAATGAAGTAAAGACGTTTGTTAGCTTTTTTGATGACTTCGTTAATGTGGTTAGTCCATTTAAGGTTACTAGAGATGGTGAGGCCTAGATTTTAGCGTTTTGGACAACCGGCAATTTCTTCCCGTAGACTGTAAGAGGGTCGAAGTTCTGTTTCGTGGATTTAAAGTCGATTTGGAGTTCTTTACATTTATCTGCATTAAGAAGTAATCTGTTGGAATTCGACCAGTTTTCTACTGTGGTAACTGCGTCTTGGGCTTTGCTGGTATCGCCTTTTTTAACAACCTCAGAAACGGTTGTATCATCGACATACTTCCAAGTAGATACTTCAGTGATTTTAAGATCATTGATCATCCATAGAAAAAGCCATGGCCCAAGTTTCGTACCTTGAGGGACACCAGCCGGGACAGCACCCCACTCTGAAACGCAGTCGGTTGCGAGTTTAACTCTTTGTTTTCTGTCCAATAGAAAATCAATAGTCCAGCGTACGACTGCCTTCGGAATTGGTAATCTGTAGATCTTATCAGCGAGTATACAATGGTCAATAAGATCAAACGCTTTTTTATAGTCAAACAGGACTACTCTGACTGCTGCCCCAGTGCCATCAGTTGATTGGGACCAATTGTGGATCACTGATATCGCTGCCATAGATGTAGAAGATATTGGTATATATACGCCCTTCAAGTAACAGGAAATCACCTTCTGGTAAACCTGACTTGCTTTACCACTCTCCCGAACAGCTTGGTACAAGAAGCTACCTGTTTATAACGTTGACGTAGATGATCTAGATATTGCTGAAGAAAGCTATTCTAAAGAAAGGCCTGCAATGGGATGTAACGACAATTTTGCTGAGCTAGCCAACATTGTCATAGAGGACCACAATTACAACACGCCTAATCACGAAAGAGAGGCGCGTTCTTTATATATTAACTTGTTACACCACATAAATGCTATCTGAGACGAAAGAGATACTTTAAGACTGGCAAACAGTAAAATAATTTTACTGTTTACATTCTGATTACGTTAAATCGGTGACAGTTTCAAGAGTAGGCTATATATTTTCTAACCTCAAAGAATCCCAATACTTTAATCATTGTCATTAAAATCCCACAAATTGGGATTATGCATGTAAAAATCGAGGTTTTCAGAGAAATGGGCGTACGATTGATGATTTTTGGGCATCGTGAGAATTCCAAAACACGTTTTCGATTTTGGGCGCACACCAAGGTCTGGCATTCATTCCATCAACACTTTGATACGCTTGTACGCGTGTATCTTCCGTGTTTGATTCTTTAGATATCGCACAACCCATCTTGAAACTTTATCTTCCCGTTGGTGAATGTCGGAGCTCAACAACTGTATATGACTTTGATTTCTTCAGCGTTGACACCATTCTGGAACGACCCAGTAGCCAAACCTTTGAGAAACCTACGATCAAGTGACTCAACTAATTTGACAGTTCCTCGAGTTAAGGGAACTTTTCAGGATTTGAACTCAAAATATTTTAATAAACTTCCGAACGATATTAAAAATTGTGAAATTCTTGTTAGTTTTACTATACAATCAAAGAACTACCTTATGGACATAGCTAAGGAACGATTGCAATAACTTATTTTTGGCTTTATAAATTGTAGTATAGTTTTAGTTACAATAATTAGTAGTAGAGTTTTATATACACAGCAAAAAATCATTTTCTTATTAAGAAAAAATTCTTAATTGAAGAAATTATTTCTTAAAACGAGAAACGGATTTTCTTAATAAGAAAAAGATTCTTAAAATAAGAAATATTTCATTGGCAAGATATTTTTTCTTGAAATAAGAAAAAAAAAAATTTAACATATCTTCGATTATATTTGTTTTCTTAAACCAAGAATGTATTTTCCTACGATTTTTTCATCTTCATATCAATCATTTTGTTAATAAGAAAATATGATTTTCTTGTTTTAAGAAATACTTTCTTAAAACAAGAAATCAAATTCTTAACATAAGAATTGTATTTGTTTTCTTAAAACAAGAATATGTTTTCTTATGATTTTTTCATCTTTTTGTCAATCATTTTCTTAAGAAAATAGTGGTTTTCTGGTTTTAAAAAATAGTTTCTTAAAACAAGAAATCAAATTCTTAACACAAGAAATTATTTCTTAAATTTTCTTGAACGGAAATAAATCTAAAATTTGTTAAAATTTAACTACAGGAACTATAGGATGGCATTCAATTCTTGTGTTTAAAGACATAAATAACATATTTTGTATATAGATTCATTTTGATTGTATAATACTTATAAGTGTGTGGGGGGGGGGGG